CGGGGGTGCGGGATTCCCGGGATCGGGAGCGGGACACGCGAGTGCCCGGGGGTGCGGGATTCCCGGGATCTGGAGCGGGACACGCGAGTGCCCGGGGGTGCGGGATTCCCGGGATCTGGAGCGGGACACGCGAGTGCCCGGGGGTGCGGGATTCTGGGATCGGGATGCCGGGATCGATGCCTGCCCCGCACAGGGGCCACGCGGGGACATGCTGGGACATGTTGGGCCGTGTTTTCCCAGGAGGTTTTGCGGGAGGTTCTTTTTTTTCCCCTCCGGGGTCACGGCAGGGAAAGGTGGGATCCGGCTCCGGGGGGTCGGGGCTGTTTGTCCCCCTCCTTTCCCGAGGTTTCACGTCCCCCTCTGCCGCAGGTGGAGGAGGCGGCCTTTCCCTGGAAGAGGGGACCTTTCCCTGGAATCGGGGGACGTCCCCCCGGCTGCCACGAGCCCCGGGATCCTCGCTTTGCTTCCCGGTTTTCCCGAGGCGATGCCGACTTTCTGGAGCAGGGGGAAGGAGCGGCAGGGGGGCCTGAGCCGGGTCTGGAGGTGTCTGTGGCTGTTCCGGGGCGGGAGCCGCGCTTCCCGAGGATTCGCTTCCCAAGGATTCGGGACGAGCTCCGGAGGCAGCGGGAGGCAGGCGGAGGTGAGGGGTGTGCCAGGCTGGTGCCAAACCCGGCGCAGAATAACTGCTCAGAGACGAAGTTTTTGTCTCTTATTTTTATTTTTATTTCTGTGTTTCTCTGGTGCAGCGTCGGGGGGGGCTGGCAGGGTGGCACCGGGCAAACCAGCTCCCGAGTTCTCAGGGAAAAGACAGGGAATTTAGACAGTTTTCCCGAGGGGTTCCAACATCTTTACCTACATATTTCATTTGATTTTGACATCTAATTATCATATAACAGGCGGAGCTTGAGGCGGAGTCTTCTGGGATCGTCTTTTGGGGGGATTTTTGGGTGGTCATTTCCATCCTTTGGCCTCACTTTGGGGGCCTCTCACTCTTCTTCCTCACTTGAACTTTTCAACTCTCTTTGCTCCCTGGCCTGGTTTCCTGGGGCTGGCAAAGCCTCTTGACTCCCGGCCCTCTTATCTCCTTCAGACGCCCCCTTATCTTTATTTATGGCCGCTGAGTTAATTACAGTCCATTTCTCCCGCCTCTTGCTCCAGCAGGACAGAACAAGCTGTCTCTGTTATATTCCAACCAGAGCCTGGTACCAACCCTGTCAATCCTTTAAAATCCCTTCTCTGTTTCAGTGGGAGGAATTCCAGAGGCAGGAATATGAGCAGTGGAAGCAGTCCCTCAGCTGGGATGAGCCGAGCCTGGGATGCGGAGCACGGGATGTGCCCAGATGTGCCAGGATGGAGAAGGCGGCGCTGGGAAAGCTGGAAGAGCCCGGGGCCTGCCGGAATTCCGGAGGCGGGAAAGGCCAGCAGGAAAAGCTGGACATCTGCAGCGCTATCCAACCCCTCGAGGAGGACGGCTGGGATGAGCCGAGCCTGGGATGCAAAGCACGGGATGGGAACGTGCCAAGGGAAGGTGGTGGCCTTGGGAACGGGATGGATCAGCCCCAGCTCCCGGCCCAGGGAGGAGCCAGCGAGGATGAGGAGGGACTGAGCGGGGGCGACTCCCCCCAGCTCCTGGAGTCACGTGTGGAGGGCAGGGACACTCCCACCGACCCTGGAAAGGACCTGGAGCCTCGGCCAGCGGAGGGAACGCCCGGAGAGGAGCCGAGGAGCCGAGTGTGGGAGAAGCTGGAGCGCCTGGGAGAGCCCATGGAGAGGTGGGAAGGGCAGCCCTTGGCAGCCCTGGCGGCCAGGCTGGCGGAGCTGGCCCTGCAGACGCACACCCACAGCTACCCCACGGAGCAGGGAGCCGCTCCCAGGCCCCGCTCCCGGCAACCGGGAGCCGGGAACGCCGTTGTGGCCGTGGCCACGGCACGGCAGGACCTCGGCGTGTCCGTGTCCGGGAGCGAGCCGCGCTTCCTCGGAATGCTGTCCGTGAGCAACCAGGCCAGTGAGGGCTCTGATGGCGGAAGGGGGACGGGACCTCTTCCCGGGCGTTCCCAGGTGCTCCGGGTGGAAATCGAGGACCCGTGGAGGAGGGAATTCCCGGCGGTGTGGGCGCGGTACCGGATGGACTGCGGGAGGGTGCTCGAGGAGGTGAATCTCGATGGGGGCCGGGTGCCCCCCCAAAGGGAACAGCCCTTGCCACCGGACGAGAGGGAGGCCGTGGAGGAGCTGCTGCCGGAATTGCTGAAGGAAGGGATCGTGGTGAAAGGCGCCTCCAACTACAACAACCTCATTGTTCCCACCCGGAAAGGGACCCAGTGGCGCCTGACCCTGAAGTGCAAAGCCCTCAACAAGGCCACCCCCACGGAGCCCGAGGAGAGCCTGAGCAGGGATCGCATCCTGGCGTCCGTGCCCGCCGGGAGCAGGTGGTTCTCCGTGCTGGATCTGTCCTGCGCCTCCTTCGCCATCCCCTTGGCGCGGAGCTGCTGGCACAGGTTCGCCTTCACCTTCCAAGGGCAGCAGTTCCTGTTCACGCGGCTCCCGCCGGGATTCCAGAGCACCGGCTCCATCACGCACCGGCGCGTGGCGCGGATGCTCTCCCAGCTGGGGGGGCAGGGGGACGGTCCCTGGGCCTTCAACTACAACGACGACATCCTGATCGCCGGGAGAACGGCCGAGGAGGTGGCGGCGCGGACGCGGAGGGTCCTGCAGCTCATCCAGGACACCGGGTTCAAGGCCAAGTGGGAGAAGGCGCAGCTCGTCCAGAGCCGGGTGATATACCTGGGAGTCACCGTCGGAGCCGCGGGGAGGGGGATCCCGGACGCCGCGCTGGAGGAGCTCCGCAGCATTCCCAGCCCCCGTGACGCCAAGGAGCTCCGCAGCCTCCTCGGGAAATTCGGCTACTGGCGGAGTCACATCCCAGACTACTCCGAGCTGGCCCGGCCGCTGCACCGGCTCACCAGGGACGGGGTGCAGTGGGAATGGCAGGAGGAGCAGCAGCAGAGGCTGAGGGAGCTGCGAGAAGCCCTCGTGCCCGTCCTGCCCTTCCCGGATAAATCCCAGCCCTTCCTCATCAGGATGAGCCTCCACGCGGAGACGGCGGGAGCCACCCTCCTGCAGGACGAGGGGGGGGCCCTGGTGCCGGTGCAACACATCTCCCACGTCCTGGAGGGCCAGAAGAGCCTTTCCCTGGAGGAGAAGGGCTGCGTGGCGGCCGCCTGGGCCGTCCAGGAGTTCCAGCCCTTCACGGGGCCGGCGCCCATCCTGCTCCAGCTGCCCCATTGCCCCGGGAAGTTCCTGTCCCGCGGCCAAGCCCTGGAGCCCCACGGGCCGCAGCTCCCGGAGCAGTGGGCGCTGCTGCTGGTCCCCGAGCGGGCTCCGAAGAAGATGTGCGGTTACATGGAGTTCCCCGAGGCTCCCCCACTCTGCCAGCTGCCTCCCGACGTTCCCGGATCCGACGTGTGGTTCTTGGCCAGCTACCGCTCGGGACGCTCCCTCGGCTACGCCGCCACCAACCTGGAGGGGCGGTGGCTGCTGGGGGCGTCCCCGGGGGGCTCCAGGCTGGAGGTGGAGCTGGAGGCCCTCTGGGAGCTCCTGGATCGGCACCGGAGCTCTTCCCGCCTCTACCTGTATTCCAACTGCGATTGCCTGATGGCGTGGCTGGTGAGGCGGGTGGGCCCGGCGAGGGGCTGGAATTCCAGGGCCGTGTGGAAGATCGTCCGCCACTGGTGCTACCACAACCCCGGGAAGCTCCAGCTCAGGAAGGTGTGGATGGCCGGGGGAGAGGACTGGGAGGAGGAGGGTTGGATCGCGAGGGCGGGCGGCAGGGCCAGGGCCGCGGCCGACAGGGCCGGGCTGGGCTGGAAAAACTGGGAGCCTTCCACGTACGAGAGGCGGGAGATCATCGCCCAGTGCCACCGGGGGCACAAGGGGGAGGAGGAGACGCTGGCGCGGGTGCGGGCGGTGGCCTGGTGGTCGTGGGCGCCACAGGAGGTGGAGAGCTGGGTGCGGGCCTGCCCGGAGTGCGGGGACGGCCAGGAGGGGCCGCAGCGGCCGGAGGGCCCCTGGTCCTGCCTCTCCGTCGGCATCGCCGACGACCTTCCCGAGAATCCCAAGGGGTTCCGGGCCCTGCTGGTGGTGCGGGACGAGGAGTCGGGCTGGGTGGACGCCTTCCCGCTGGGGGAGTTCCCACAGGAGACGCTGCGGGTTTGGGTGGCGGTCATGCGGCGGCGCTGGGAGGTGTTCGGGAAGGTGGGCACGGTGCGTGTCCCGGCCGAGCCGCCCTGGCTCGGGGACGCCCTGTGCCACTTTGAGCTGCGGGGATACTGGGACAGGCTGGAGCGCGGCCGGGACTGCCCCGTGGCCGCCAGCCTGCGCAGGGTGGCCCACAAGGTCGGGGAGGGCTGGGCCGAGATGCTCCCGCTCATCCTGGCGGGAGTGAGGGCCGGCAGCGCCCGCAGGGCCCGACTGGAGCCGCTGCTCAGCGTCCCCGGCCTGGCCCTGGAGGTGCTCTGGGAAGAGATTGAGCTGCGGCACCGCAGGAAGAACGAGCTGGCCTGGCTGGGCGGGATGCGCCTCCGGCCCGGGTACCGCGACCGCGTCAGGGCCGCGCTCGACATGGAGCTCGACTAGGCCTGGGCTGGGGCTGGACTGTAGGGCTGGGCTGGGGCTGCACTGCAGGGCC